ATATAAAGCCCTTAACGGTTTGGGACCTCAATATTTGGCAGATCGCCTCCTCCGGCCCAGATCTACCCGAATCACCCGATATAGCCAGCGGGGTCGGCTGAGGGGTTTGACGCCGAGGGAGGCCCGGAAGGAGAAAACAAGAAACCGGGCCTTCTCGGCGGTCGCCCCTCGGCTGTGGAACACACTCCCCACTGAAATTCGGCTGGCACCCTCGCTGGGTGCTTTTAAAAGCCAATTAAAAACCTGGATATTCAAACAGGCCTTCCCCCCAGTCAACTAAGTTATTTTTTCTTTCCTCTTCTTCTGTTTTTTGAGTTTTAGCCATCTTGAATAATATTGCTTATAATTATTGTATTATATATGTTATTTATATGTCCTTTTAATTTGTTTTAGCCTATGTAAGCCACCCCGAGTAGACGTGGTCTAGAGGGGCGGGGTAAAAATCAAATAAATAAATAAATAAATAAAAATAAGCACAATTTCAGACAATCTCAATGGATGTCCAGTCACCTCATTCTGCTTCTCTCCTCTCTAGTGGCAGAAACAACATGCAGGAAGGAAGTACAAGGAAGACACTGACAGCTCCTATGGGTGGGTAGTCACCTACTTCTCTCGGACTGGCTGGGAATTCTGCCCAGACGGATGGCAAAATCAAATTATTACCAGTGCCACTCTGGTCTTACCACAAACAATCAATTAGCTACCTGCTCTAAAGGTGAAAATTCTTCTTCCCATTCATTCCAGCTCCTCCTTCTGAAAAAAAATAATAGGAAGAAGCAAGCTAGCAGCTGACTTGTTGGCAGATGGAAAGTTAGTCTGGCTATACAGGGTATGCAAAATTATGACTATATTTAAATACACAAACTTAAATTGAGAACCAGTGTGGTTTACTGGGAAAGAGTCTTGGATAAGGACTCAGGAAGCCAGGGTTCTGATTCCTGCTTACCAATGGAAACTCACTGGAGGTGTGCATGCAGCAACGCTAAACACCTCCTTCAACACCCCTCACACTCCGGAAAATCCTGTTAGGATTTCCTTAAGTCAGAAAAGTTTTGGCAGCACTAACAATACCCTCAATTACCATGTGCAAATGTAATGCAAAACTGTCCACCTTTCTGTTCATGCTTCTTCTATGTTCTCCTTTTTGGGAACGCATCACTGGCTGGTTAGCTTAGTGAGTTTGGTATCTGGCTGTAGATACAAAGGTTGAGACCTGAAATCCCTACTGTGCCTTCAAGGAGAAATGGCAGTCTGTGTGGCAAAACATGTTTGCCTTGAATGCCAAATAAACACCAAATAAGCCTAATGAGGGCAGACACTAGTTGTGGACAGGCCCACAACCTAGAGCAGCTGCTTGAACATACTTGTATACAGAGTACATGGAAGGGCAGTGAACTGCCCATAGAAGGGGAAAGAACGAGCAGCTGCTTGAACATACTTGTATACACAGAGCACGTGGAAGGGCAGTGAACTGCCCATAGAGGGGGAAAGAACACACTCGTCTCCTACAGAGAGATTTGCAATTTCAGCCTTTCTCTATCAGGGGGCTGACAAAGCACCAGGGAATGTTTATGGATTGCCTAGGGTGAGGAAGAGGGATCTCTCTCTTCAACAGCAGACATCTCTGTCCTATATGGATATAAAGCTGGATGAATAGCTCAGTAAGATAGGCATCTGGTTGTGGAGCCAGAGGTTGGGGGTTCAATTCCCCACTTGTGCATCCCAGCCTGTGTGGTCTTGGGCAAGCCAGTCCCAGGACACCCCCAGAAGAAGGAAATAGGAAACCTCTTCTGAGTATTCTCTACCTAGAAAACCCCGGAAAAGGGTCACCCTAAGTCAGAACTGACTTGACAGCATGCTATTGTTGTTGTTGTTAAATAACATTAAACAAACTTCCACCGTCCGCCAGAGAGCATGAAGGCCCAATGGGACCCATGCAGACCAGGCTCTGCCTCCAATGGTCCCGATCCCAGAAGGGGCCCCTCAGCTGCAACAACCTGAGTGCCGCCAATCTCCTCATCTGACTCGATGACACACAAGAAGAACTATGGGCCCTGATGCCAATTTTTAGAGTATACATTTTAATTGTATTTTAATTGCCTTATCTTTTTAATTGTATTATAATTGTTGTAAGCCACCCAGAGACCTTCAAGTAGAATGGGCGGCATAGAAGTTAAACAAACAAATCAAGCAATAAATCAAACAATACATCAACCAACCAGCCAATAAATAAATAAATAAGAACTAGGCACCACCACCACCATCATCATCCACCTCCTTAGGGTTCATCACCCCTACCACTCAGCCTTCAGTAGCCAAGGCTTTGGCTGGAAAGCAACAGCTGCCAAAGGAGGAGGAGGAGGGAGGCAAAAGCAGCTCCTGCGCCTTTCAAAGCGGGGTCGAAGGGAA